ACAATTGTTAAGGACAATTCTGCCCTGTCATGAAAAACTCACTTAACTACATTTAACAAAGTTCTGAGATAATCAACAAAACGCGTTATTGTCTTCGCTCTCTCTATGCGTAAATAATTGAATCTTTATTTTCACATGATTTTAGATGTTTTTATAAGTACTATTCATTTTGTAGAACTTATATTTTTAATTACTCTATATAATATGCAATATGTCACATTTATTGTTTTTTTTCATGACATACCGGGTCAATCAATTGTAAGAAAAACACGAAAGACTCACTCAACTGCATTTGTCATGAAAGAATCAACTCAACTACAGTATTTATTGAATGTAAAAACACGTAAATCAACTTTCGTGAGTAAATTTAGGGTTAGGCCTATTTTTTACTATGGGATGGCAGAGGCATGGAATAGAATACAGAAGCACGCATACTCAATATAGACTGGAAAAAAATCTGAAAAAAATGAGTTAGGGGGAGTGGAATGTTAGAAGCAATCCACATAGCCAGATATCCTAATTAATCCCTTCTGGTCACCCTAAGCCCTGTTGACACTTGATTTTACTCCTTGTATACACATTTTTCAAAATGGCCGCCAAATTGATCTAAAATGTGCATAAAATTGAAACTAAATAAGCTACAAATATGTTTTTGGTGTCTAAACTCATAATTTCTAGAAAGGCAACAATCTAGACTACTGTCACTCAAGCAAGAATGGAACATAATTAAAAAATAGGTGTTTATTTGTTTAATAATAATCGCAAAATATACTTACTTAAAATGTGCATAAAATAAGAACGAGTATACATAAGCTAGTTTTCTATGTAATCCAGATAGATTTTTAAGCAAAAATAGATTTATTGACTAATTTTATTATTTTTACTGCGCTGAATTCAAAAATGTTAGGTGCCATTTTTTTCCCAAAGTCACCGGCCGCCATTTTAAATTTCAAGATGGCTGACGCACCACATAAAACATGGTCATGATTGGTGTCAATGGAAAGCAGTGGCGGATCAAGGGGGATCCGAACCCCCCTCTGTTAAGAAACGTAACAAAATACTGTTGGTTCCTGGCTTACAAAACGCATTACCAACCGTTTCTCGTGCATCGTGCGGGACGGTCCCGCTTCAAAGTGATTTTGGATGTAACATGCATTTGGCAGAAACACATGCGTGATCTTAAATTTGTCACGCATTTAGTCCATGCATGACGACGAATAATCACGAATTCAGGGAAAATATATTTAAAATTAAGAAATTAGTTTTATTAAAATTTTAAAACAATCATGCAGTAACTTGAGTCATTAGAGAGCTTTCGTTATCGCGTTTGAAATTCAATTCTCCAAAAGCTTTTGCGGCGCGTGTGAT